TCAGTTGCTTTGACACAATCTGTATTGTTAAAAGCGCTATATAAATAAAGGTGACTCATACAGACAGTATTCTAAACACAACTGCAAGCTGCTGTGTGAACGTGACATTTCGAGACTCACACCTGTAAAGAAAATGCGGTTGTCAATCGCAAAAATTGACAATGTGAACGTAGCCTACGTGTGTATATGATGTATCTCCGCTGTTGGTTGTAATATTGGTGAAGTAAATCCACACTTTGCTGAAGAAGCGTTAACAAACTCTTAAACAGCAACAACAGTACCATGTACTCTGCCATTGTTGTAAAGACAGAGCCCAAAAGGGGAACAGAGTTGCGTGACAGACACATTAATGAAGCTGGTATGTGTTTGTGATCTCTCTCTCTCTCTCTCTCTCCCTCTCTCTCCCTCCCTCTCCTAACCCTGATTGCTGATCGAGATTGAAAAACTGATTTGGCTTTATTAAAATGTGTGCATAATCTAATTAAATAAAGTCTAAATAAGTTGTTCAGATGACCAAAGCACAAGGTTTTCTTGCATATTTAACATTTTAATTGTTTGGTCAGACATTTACACATTCATAAATCGGGGATTAAACATTGAGTTATGTTCTGTATGCTAAATATGAATATATAAACAAGTTTATTTGCACAGTACCTATAACTGCGCTTTGCATCCGCTTTCTGCTGATTGCTGATCGAGATTGACATGCTTAATGGCCGACTGACCCGGTACGCTCTCATTCATTTCATTCACGAACGAGATGTACCAGTTCATTCAACTCATTCACGAACGAGAAGATCTCTCTTGTTCAGACTCAAAAGAAACTCGGTCAGTGAAGGGCGTATTCGTTCACTACATTCAACAAATCACATGCTCCGTCACATCTCAAACTCGAAGGCTATTGGCTCGAGGTTTAGTCATTCTTTGACAGGATGAAACAGTCCACAGAGCTACCCGGTTCACTGAGCTAGCTGCGCATGCGCTGCTATGGAGGGAGGAATATCAGTGAACGAGAAATAGGAGTCAATGGATTTACGTGAACGAGAACTATTCGTTCACCAAAAAAAATCGTTCAAAAAGAACGATTCGTTCACGAACGTAACAACACTAATGGCAACGATAAAGGTGGCGTTTTCAAAAACTTGCACTTTGAAACACGTTTTCAAAAATATGCGTTTTCATTCCCCAAAACGCCGTTGTCGTGTAAACGAACAGGCAAAACGCGCAAGTTTCCCGTTTTTTGGCTAAAAACGTTGTCTTGTAAACAGCCCCTCAGAAATTCTTCTTTCGAAGGCTTGAATAAAGTTTTTCATTTGGTGATGCCATCATTTTAGAGCCAGGTAAACCAGACGTCCCAGTAATATGTCATTGCATATGTTCCCAAGTCATTCCCAATGTTCAAGTATCAGCAGATCTGCATAAATTCGACAGAAACTGAATCAAAAGCTCCACAACTTTTAATTAGTGTTCAAATGTTCCACTGTATTAAAATCACATTTGTACACTCAAGAGTTGACACACAAAATAGAGAGAGATGGTGCATTTAGAAAAATACAAAAACAAACTACAAGGAGTAAACGGACGAGCTCTAAAACTACAAAACACAATCAGAGTATTCACACAAACTGAACCCTGAACATCCACAGTGTTGATCAATGACGACCAGACATCAGCTCCACTCGTGCTCAGTGTCACAGTATAGACGAATCAAGAACTATGATGAAAGTTTGTTTGTCCAAACGACAAAAACAAAACTCCAGTGTTGGAACAAAGGAAACGTCCAGAACATTAATTCAATGACTCAATCCATAACCTAGCTAACAAAAATCTTCTAAGAAGGTTTTGATAACATTCCCATTAAGTTATGAAAATGTTATTTCTGAATATTCTCTGAACATTCAAAACATCCAGTATTTTTTAAATGGTTATGTGAACATTACATTTTATCATTTTGCAAACATAACTGGAATGTTACTTTTGATTGCTTTCTGAAACAAGTAGTAACATTTAAAAAATATGAGATGAATGTCCGACGACAGCATTTCAGGAAAAAAGTTCTGTGAATGCTGTATAAATGTTTATTATTAACGTTTTGAGAATATTATTACAGGCCAGCTAACTTCGAACAAACATTTGATTAAAATTATTGGAAGAACGTTTGTTCATAGCCTTGGCAGAAAGTTAGCCAGAGTTCTGAGAACTGCAGTCGTGCTTAGAATAAACAGCGTTATCGTGCTGGTGTGGAGGCTAATATAGTCAGGTTAAGGTTCTAAGTGTGAACAGGCTTCAAGACTCTTAAGCTCACACTGTTGTGCTTCGATGCAGGAAAACCTTATTGTAAACACATAACCCAGTGTCAGACTCTAGTAACATCGTCTGTGTGAACGAGCTGAAGCCGATAATGTGTAGTGCATGTCGTAGTGAGGATGTCAGTTATTTGGCGCTTTTCCACTGCATGGTACGGCATGGTACGGTTCACTTTTGGGGGGTTTTCCACTGGGTACAGTCCCTGGTCCCTGGTACGTTTTTTGAGTACCACCCCGGTAGAGGTTCCAAGTGAACCGTACCGTTACCAAAACGTGACGTGTAAACTCTGCTGATCACGTAGTGGCCAGAGAGAATCGTCACTACCTGCGTCACTGAACTTGCGACACAAACACAACAGAACCGCTAGATTTAAATCAGCACAGCCTGCGAAGGATCGAACGCAACTGTTTTGAACAAGCACACCTTTTTTAACAACCAAAAAGTGTCTGTTTCGTTGTCTGTTGAGGAAGTACAGACGTTCCTCTCGTTGATAGCAGAGGAGCGGATCCAGCGAGAGCTTGATGGGGCGACGCGTTTTTTTCAGGAGTCGCGGCAATAGAGGCGGTGCAACTATAAACAACATGTGAATAATCCCGCCCACTCTAAAGCGGTACTGAACTGCAGTGGAAACGCAAACCGAGCCGTGCCGAGCCGAGTCGTACCACGCAGTGGAAAAGCACCAATTGAGTGACAATTTAAAGGAGGAGAACGTCTGCATGCAGACAAATACACAAAATAGAAAATAATCGCTGTGAATGGGAACTGCCAACTATCCGCGAAATGAAGATGGCAAAATGAAACAAGAAGAAATGCAATTGTTTATAAGAGCACAACACAAATATAAAAGAGAAGAGCTTCTGGACGAGAATGTTAAATGTCATATTCTGTCTTTACAGGATGCAGGAGTGTAAACAAACACAATCACACCCTGCCCGAACATGTCTGGTAAATGCTTCAGGTGCTGAATTATGCGAAAGGAAATGTTTCTGCTGATACTGCTGTAGAATGGAAGCTTATTTCAGTCACTGACTGATTCCACATTTGTATCTCACAATTCAGAATCTTTTTTCTCTGAATTCTGAGTTTACATCTCGCAATTGTTATTTTTATTTTTTATTTAATTCTGAGTTTACATCCTGAAATTCGGACTTTTTTTCCTCACAATTAGGCATGGGCCGATTACCGGTTTGACAGTATACCGCGATTTGAAAATTTCACGGTTTCAAAACCACTAATATTTTCCGTTATACCGTTCCTGCGGTATGCGCCGTTTTTCATGTCTCCTCAAAGACTGAAAGTGTAGGAATCCCTCACAACCCCTCCTCCTCCTGTTGGTGTGAGCAGTCAGTCACGTGTGTGTATGGCGGCCGAACTTAAGGAGCTTTCCCTGGAACTTACGCGATCGGCAACCGGACATTTTTTGTCTTATTGCAGCTCGTCTCTGTTCTGGACTTGAACTGCGTTGCAATGCAATCATTTTCCAAAATGTAATTTATGTGAAAATATGAAGTCTGTAAACGCCCGTTAACACAGGCCAGAGACGTTGAAGACGGACGCACAGAGAAAAATACTGTAGCAGGCAGATCACTCACTGTTCATGATGCACGAACTATTGGAAGAAAATCCTAAATATTGATTTGGGTGTTTATATGAATGTGATGGTATTTTCTTTTCATCTCGTCTCTGTATAATTCATATTAAAGCAGTGTTTCAGCGCAGCGCTGCTTTGTCTACGGCGGTAACCAAGGAAACGCTGTATCTGGTGTTCCAGAAGCGCCTCCTGCTGTCAAAGAGTGAATCTGCATCTCATTCAGAGCTTCTGCTGTTTGTTTTCGTTCAGGCATGTAGTATAATTTCACAAAGCTAGTCAGATCATTCTGTTTTTGCTTCAAATTGGGTTATTATTAAATCAAATTATGTATATGAAATTATATAACAATGATATGAAATTATATAAATGATGTATATGAATTATATAACTAAAATGAAATTACTTATTACAGATTTAGATTAAATAAAGATGTCAGTCTTTATTATTCTGCTTTTTAGGGCAGCAGTAGCTCTAGCAGCAAATCAACCATCCACATCAAAAGCTGCAGGACAGCCCACAATTCAGCAAACATTTCAGAAAAAAAAACAAAGAAAAAATAAATAAATACTACTGTTCCAAATATTCTATGTTGCTCAAAAATAGAATATATTGTGTTCCATGGGAAAAAGTTTTTTTTTTTTTTTTTTTACCCAGACATTTAAAAATAACACATTTTAGAGATGTAACAATAATACCGAGAAACCGTGATATTTTTGCTTAAGGTTATCATACTGTCAAAATCTCATACCAGCCCATGCCTACTCACAATCGTGAGTTTATATCTCACTTTTTTCTTAGAATTGCAAAGTTTATATTTTGCAATTGTGAGAATTTACAATTTAAGAATTTTAGAATTTATATATTTTACAATTGTGAGAATTTTAAATTTACATCTCGCAGTTTTGACTTATCTCTGCATTCTGTTTACATCTCGCAATTCTGAGTTTTTCACAATTACCTTTTTTATATTTTTATTTCATGGCAGAAGTAAGCTTCCATGCTGTTCACAGACAGCTGTAATTCATTTATTCTACAAGAGAGATTGTCTAACGACAGACTACTATTTATTACTGATGTGACTAGAGTCTTCATGTGAGTGGACATGATTTGAGCTTCATCTGATCGGCTGCAGGAGGATGAGAGTGCGTTTGCTGGACTCCGTTCCCTTACTTCATCCAGAAAGAAGTCTTTATTTACTATTAAAAATATATAAATATATATTTCATAGCAAGTCAGTTACAGAAATAGTAAATCTGAGCCTGATGAGATCTCAGGTGAGATTGATTGAGGCTGCTGAAGAGAGATAACAGTCGTCTGGAGGTGTTTACTGCACCACCGCTGCTGCTGGTTTGAGTTTGTGTGCAGTGAGTGTTTCAGCTACTGTACGCTGCATGTCTCTGCACTGTACTGACCGCCCACTTCTTCATGGCTTTGGTCCTGAGGGTTTGTGTCCTGCTCATCTGGAGGAAATAAACTCTGTCTGAGGCCCATCAGCAGATCTCGGCCTTCACTGGCTGGAAGGTTCCCTAGATAGTACTGAGGCGCCAGCTCCACCAACCTACAACACACACATGTGACATCACTGCTGAATAAACTGCCTTCAACCAAAAAAAATTACATGGCTTTAAAGGGATAGTTCACCCAAAAATGAAAAATTACTGTTAATGTTCTCATCCAAGATGCAGTTAGGTTTTTTATTCAGTAGAACAGTAAAAAAGTTTTTTTACCTAAAAACCGTGGTCCTTGGTGATTCATAAAATGCAAATCAATGGCTACCAGTACTTTGAGAGTCAAAAAAAAAAGCTATCGGGCAACACAAAATTAATACCCATGGCTCCTGACAATATATTGAGGTCTTATGAAGTGAAACAATCAGTCTGTGCAAGAAACTGAACATTATTTACAACATTATTACCTGTAATCCAGAGCCTCAGGCTAACGGTCCAGAGTAATGTCTGAACAAATCATTCTTTCGAACCGGTTCTTTTTAGTGAACTAGTTGAACCAGTTCACCAGTTGGACTGAACCAGTTTGCAGAAAAGCATCAGATTTCCCTGTTTGCCTGAGGATCTGGATTACAGGTAATAATGTTGTAAATAATGTTAATTTTCTTGCACAGACTGATGGTTTTGCTTCACAAGACCTCAATATATCGTTAGGAGCCATGTGTATTAATATTGTGTTGCCTGATATGCTTTTTTTGACTCTCAAAGTGACGGTTTAAGTGATGCGTGTTGACTCTCATTGACTTGCATTTTATGAATCACCAAGGATCTGATGTCACATCACCAAGACTGAAGTTTCAGTAGGGATTTGACTGGAGATCGATACTCACATTTGTGGGTGAATCTCAGATATGATGCAGATGCAGTTGTCGTGTGAGATGGTGAAGTCGTGGTAAAGCACCCAGCTGGGCGGGTTGGGCTGCGGTCGGCGGCAGTGGTACGATGAGAAGGGGTGGAGGTGAGCCACGTGCCGGTGCGTGAGCAGCAGATAGTTCCCTGAGCCGTCAACATCATGAGCAACCTAATGATCAGACACACGGGAAACCAATGACTGCTCCGATTTAGCAGTTAAAACACATCATGTCCAGTCATGACGGCAGAATAAACCCTACAGGCGCTTTCAGGACCTCAACCTGAACACTGAGACTAAACACACAGAATGAATGATTTTCATAGCAATGCAAATTGAATATATTATGTAGTGGTTGACCGATATACCGCCAAGGCTGATATATATATTTTTTCAAATATCGGCATCGGCCAATAAGTTTTTCTGTTTGGCCGATGCGTTCGTGGCGGGACTATTATTTTGACGACGGCGGCTGACAGCGGCAGCGCCTGAACACACAGTGCTCACATTCTCCCTCTTGTTCGCTGTCGTAGTTAACAATTCTGTCCACAGACAGAAGTCTGCCTAAAAATCAGAAAGAACTGTTAAACAAAGGAATTAAAATGTATACAAAAAAGTATTATTACGATTGCTTTTATATCGTTACTAATAGAAAGGCAAACATTATAATACTTTATCGTTTGCCGTCAGCATTCAGCAAATACGCATTTACATCATTTAAACAAATCTTTGAATGACTAATGAACATTTAATTTCAAAAACCTTGCAAACTTAGTCGAATCCAGCTGTGAGATCTTATGAAGTGTGCATTTGTATCCTGCATGACGGTCGGTCCGTATGAATTGAATGCTGACAGGAGGAGAGTTCAGCTTCACTGAGGACTAACTTTAAACTCTTGATTTCGAATTATGCTGCGCTTTATGCATTTGCCCACTGTCATATTCATGTCATTTTCACTGTGTGCTGTATGTAAAATGAGTGTAACCTTGGCTTTATTTGAAAAAATGTGATTCCCAATGCACACAAACTTCCCAGAATACTGAGTGCCCTGTTGGTTACAGTGTTTACTTCCTTTTTAATTATATTTTTATAAAATATTTGTTGATTTGTGAAAAATACTTTGTCATTTAAAGTATTAGCATGCTTATTTTACACGTTTATTTTTTTAATCCATTTTTAGATGATTTCAAATTTCTTAAATATTAAATAAAATAAATAAAATTATATCGGCTTTATATCGGGCACACTGATTTCTGAGATATCGGAATCGGCTGTCAAAAAAACAATATCGGTCGACCACTAATATTATGGTAATTTAAGACAAAGAAGAAAGAAATAGTTTGGTGTGCACGATTGTATCAATGTCTCTCCAGCACCAGGAACATCTGTCAGCCAGTCAGAATGCAGCATTCTAGAGCTCTGTGGTTTAGTTTATAGTGTGTGTTTACCTTCAGGAAGAAGCCCGATATCAAAGCTCTCTTAATATTGGTGCTGTTGTCCTGGCAACCGAAAGCGGGAGAAGAGACAGGCAACTCGATTCGCTGCATCACCTCCAGTAGCTCCGCCCTGATCACCACAGCCAATCGTAAAGCAGAGGCATTCAAGAAGTTTGTCCTGCACCAGACCTCGTCTTCATTATCTGAGGACACACACACACATCAGTATTTATAATGATAGACACGAGATGCGTCAGTATGATGCTGTCACTCACGCTGTAGATAAGCGTTATAGACGTTGATGAGGGTCATGTGATCTCCGTCTGGATGCAGCAGGGGTCGTCTGTGCGTCGCTGCCGCCTCCTCTTTATTAGCTGGTGGTGTTATGAAGCACGGCGGAGCTGCAAGTCAAACACACACTTACTGAAGATGTGTGCGTATGTAAATGACTGTGATCACAGACACTGATGCGTATGCAAGTGCCGTACCGGTCAGCATGGCAGCGATGGTCAGCAGCTCATTCACGCAGTCAAACTCACAGGACGCAATCAAAGCTTTGGCTAATGGCGGCTCCAGAGGAAGTTCAGACATGATGATTCCCACCTCTGACAGATTCCCGTCGTCATCGAGAGCCGCCAGATAATCCAGATCCTCCAGTGCCTGCATCAGTGCCTCCGGAGCTACACACACACACACACGCACATGAGCAAACAAACACATGCAAGAGCTTCTCAAAATCACACGCTCTAATCCGACCGGCTGGTTTAGGGCAGTTTACAGAAATCATGGTGCAACAGGATTTTTCTGGTCATGTCTGATGTAATAAAAGCCTCTATTGTAAGAACTTAGATCTGGCAGTTCATCTAAAGCCAGGCACACACCATAAGACTGAAGATCATCACCCGACACACAATCTCCTGCCTTTCGTTGTGTTTGTGCGCACACTACGTAACCACAAGATCCTAAAACTAGTAAAATATTTTTCATTAATTGAGACAAAAGTTTAAATAAAAAAAAAAGAAACGTTTTCTTGGCAGTTAACTAAAATAAAATACATTTAAGTACTAAAATTACTAAAGCTAAAATAAAAAATAAATTAAACATAAATGGAAATATTCAAAACAAAAACTGACAAAAAAAAAGTACAAAATAACATAAAATGCCTAAAACCTAAACTGAAATTTAAGATTAAAATGAAAACTGAAAATATACAAATGAAAAGCTAATTTAAAATGTTAATAAATACTATAATAGTATATAGCACAGCCTTCCAAATGAAGCTACAATCCTGGAATAAACTCTCGCACACAGAAACAGGAACAACTAAAATTAAAACTATTAAAATTTGTTTTTCGTTAACTGAAATAAAGGTGAAATAAAATCAAATACAATATAAATATTATGTCAACTTTAAAAACTTTAAAGATGAAAATTAGAAATGTTGCCTTAGCTTCTAATGAAATAAAATATCATTAAAAAGTACTAAAATGACAAACTAAAACTGAAATCTAAAAAAAATCTAAATACACATTTTTAAAAAAGGTAATAAAAGTGACAAGAGCACATAACAAAATTACTAAAACTCAAACTAAAATGCAAATATAAAAATAAAAGCTAATTTCATCGGACCAGTCGTCAAAAGCGACGAGCTTCAGTCTTGAAGTATGCAGGTTTTTCATGCTTGACAGGCTGAACTGACCTGGCCGGTCCAGGAACTTGCACTGGCCCATGTCTGCAATGTCCAGCCGCTTGAGCAGCAGCACCAGATGACTGAGGTTTGCTTCTGTCACCGCCGGACAGCGAGACGCAGGCATCTCATCCTCATACATCAGCTGAGAGTACAGCCGAAAACACACGCCTGCGGTGGACAGTAAAAAACACACACTACCATCACAACATGACCGCATTCATGCTACCATCACAACAAAACACACTACCATCACAACATTTACAGGCTGTCCTCAAAACGCAGAGCAATGCAAAGGTCATGGCTTTGATTCCCAGGGAATGCATGAACTGATCACAGTCTTTTTTTTAGTATTATTGAGATTTTGAAGTGAAGTGCCTTGAAACAAGCAGCATTGTTCAATGTGTTGACGTAATTTCAACTGAAACAGAAAGACAGGGCGGGACATAACAAGCAGCCCCGCCCCCTTTTTAAATAGTCAATAGCGTTTCATTTATATCACAGCTTGGGCCAGAGCCGTTGAGCTCGGAAAATTAAGAGTGATCATAGGACCTGTTTACACCCGGTATTAAAGGGGTCATATGATGCTTTTTTAAAGATCATTATTTTGTGTATTTGGTGTAACAGAATATGTTGACATGCTTTAATGTTCAAAAAAATATTTTTCAAATACTGTACATTATTGTAGGTCCTCTATGCCCCGCCTCTCTCAAACGCTTTGTTTTCTACAAAGTCCCTCCTTCCGACAAGCGCAGTCTGCTCTGATTGGCCAGCTGACCCAGTGCATTGTGATTGGCCGAACACCGCAAGCACTCGTCGGAAATGTAACGCCCCTTACCATAATCGCGAGCTTCATCTTTCAAAATAAATGTAAAGACAGAGCCCGAAAGGGGAACAGAGTCGCGTGACAGACACAGTGACTTTCTTTGCGTGAACATTTGGGCGGCATTATGCTAATATTTCCACATAGTGACGTAGATATGTGGGGGCGTGTTAGAACGAGCCGTTTTAGGGGGGGCGTGGCAGAGTCTTAACTTTGATAAAGAATATCTCTTTGGTTTTGAGACTTTAGTCTTTGCAACTTCAGGGATCTTATCTATGCACAATCAGCTTGTAACACTCCAAAGAGAAAGGAAAACTTGAAATCACATCATATGACCCCTTTAAGATGCGTTTTCGTCAATCCGATCACAAGTGGACAACATTAAATAAAGGAGTGAACGGGGTCTAAAATGTTTTGAGTTTGTCCACTTTCAACTACTTCCAGAGGTAATGCATTCGACCGGATTGTGCTCGTGGTGTGGACGCTCATGTGGTCAAATGCGTTCGAACAGCCACTAAAGACCATCTACTCTCCGCTGACTGAGCTAATTCTTAAACATAAACATTTCATTTCCTATCCATTAATCTACAAAATTAAAATCTTAAATTAGATTTAAATTAAATTACAATGGATAAGAGTATGTGACCCATTAAAAATAAATGTTTTTCTGTTCAGTGATTTAGTTTTGCATGCGCATACACAACAGGAGAAAACTGAATAAAACAACATATTATAGGAATAAAATAAATAGGCCTTCACGAAATATGTTTCAGTTAAATAAAGTATATGTACAGCAGCTTTTTTTTTATTCATGAAGTAATGGTTTTAAAAATAGTTTTGGGAAAAAAAAAAAAACGTGTTTGGCTTATATGTAAATTACACAAACTCATTTCACAATATTAGATTGAAAGATCAGAAAAAGCCCACATACACTGGTCCACAGACCCTCCCCTCAAAAGAAATCAGGACAGAAGTGGTTCAAAGTGGACAGAAGAGACGGGAATGTGTCTCCCGCGTCTACTTGTGATCCGATCGACCAAATAAATATCTTAATAAAAGGTGTAAACAGGGCCATAATCATGTATAGTTTGAAAAGTGTGAAATTTATGTTGGTCAATTGCACCGATGTTATCTCTTCTACTCGTCAGGGCTGTTTTTAATGCCATGTCTGTCTAACCGGATCTCCTCCGAATCTCATCCATATCACCATAAAATATATAGCATTTTGTGTAGAATTCAAATGGGTCTGATACCTATTTTGGTCTGCGCCACATATAATCTGCTCTGGGGTATAGTGTCTCTGGACCGGAGCAGACTGTGTGTGCACTGTGACTGTTCATGTGACACAAAGTGAAACCAGACTTCTTTCAACCCAATAGAAGGTATACTTACACTGTCTGAATTGTTCTCTATCCCCTATTTAGTGCACTATGTGCCACTGACCACATAGAAAATACTAAATCTATGAATATGTGACCAATTTCAGCCACAGCTTTAGCGTCTATATATAAAAATCATCATCAGAAAATCTGATAAGCTGAAGTGCTGGGTGATGTCATCAAAATCGTTGATCCATATTGGCGGAAGTGAGAGACTGCAAGTTTTGAATGCTTATATATGGAATTTTGTAATTGATTTTGAGCACACTAGCTTTTAGATAACCTTAAGTCTACAATATTCATACTAAAAGCCAAAAAAAGGTCCATTTTGATATCATGGGGACTTTAATATTTTGAATTAGATTTTATTTTTATATTTTCTGTTTTCAAGTTAATTTTGTTGTCTTTTTGTCTTTTCCAAGTAGTTTTCGTTGTTTTTAACATGGGGACTTTAATATTTTGAATTAGATTTTATTTTTATATTTTCTGTTTTCAAGTTAATTTTAGTTAAAGTAATTTTGTTGTCTTTTTGTCTTTTCCAAGTAGTTTTCGTTGTTTTTAAATATATATATACAGCTTTGTTAATTTTTTATCAGTTTTAGATTTAAATATTTGTGTAAATCGAGTTATGATGTAATGATTTTTTTAAATGGTTTTAGTTTTAGTTAACTATAATAACCCAGAACTAATCACATGTAAACACTGAATGCAATGAAAGTTGCTTCAGAAAAATGGATCTGCCAAAAGCATTAAAGGTGGGGTATGTATTTTTTCAAAAACGCTTTAGAAAACTGAGTCGGGCCAAGTACCAAAACAAACTTGTAGCCAATCAGCAGTAAGGGGCGTGTCTACTCATGATGTGGAGGAGAGAGCGCTCAGTGCACAGGATGGTCATTAGCCAAGTCGAGCGACGACAGAAAGATAGAGATGGTGGATAAAAAACAAAAGAGGAAAACATCTGCGGAACAAAAGAAGGCTTACGATATAGCAAGAAGTAGGACCCGTGTAAATTTCGGATCAGCTTTCCAGAGAGAACTCAATGAGCGGAAGGCCTGCGATCAGACGCCAAGGTTGCTTTGTTTCTTCTCGATAGGGGAGTAACATTGGTTTTGCTTTGTTTCACAGAACTAATATATGCTGGCTTTTGCTTGAATATGCTCGTGTGTCATGTTCGCTTGTTTGTTCATCTGCAATCATATTGTTGTTCCCTTCAGCTGTGATAAAGACACATTCATTTCCACACCCTATAAGCCTGGAGCGCCTAAACCTCCTCCACTGTCTGTTTCAAGCATCAGCTCCCAAAGTGTGTCCGAAAAGTAGTATAATATGTTTAATACAGCAGATAATAATACAGCAGATTCCGCCATAATCGCTGCCTGGGTTGCGTACGTATGTGTGGGGCGGAGCTATCAAAATAGGGGCGAGACCCTTGTGGGGTAGGGGCGTGTTTGTTTTGGTGATTTCAAATGTCAACATTGGCTACCAGAAATAATTTGCCCCACCTTTAATTTAAGGCCCCATGAAATGCATTTTATTTTCCCCTAAATTCCATTTGATTTATTATGTATTCTGTGTTTTATAATTCAGTACAAATTTATCATAAAAAATGGCGTCTAGTGAAATGAATTAATAAAACTTTAACAATTTAATCAATCTTAAAATGTAATCAAATGAAAATCAATTTATAACCAAAAATTGCATTTTAATTTTATCAGATAAGATGCTGCACAACAGAAAAAAATTTATTGGTTGTATGATATACCTTAAAAATAATAATATTATTATTACTTCGAGAATTGCATTTTAGTATACAGTAGTGATATATTCGGTCATAATTTCAAGTAAAACCAGACTTTTATTTTGACGTTTTGTCGCGAAGGTCTTCCAGTCTTAGTTTTAGTTTCAGCATGTATTTGACGGTAATTTTTCTCAAATTAAACTGCATAAAGCTGGCGAAGTGACTCTCAGAGCAGCTCTGGAGATGAAGTGCATGTAATATATGTGTGTGTACTTTGTATATTTATTATGTATATATAAATACACACACATGCATGTATATATTTAAGAAAAATGTTACGTTTACATATTAAATATATTTATATATGATATAATTTATATGAATATAAATATATACATGTGAATACTGTAATGCTGTATGTGTGTGTCTTTATATATACATAATAAATATACCCAGTACACTCACATATATTATGTGTGTGTGTGTGTGTGTGTGTATGTATGTAGAGGGGAATATATATTAATTATCAGTAGACATTTTAGACAGCATCAGCCCTCCATTCATTCAAGGTGACCCTAATATATTCAAGATTCCAGCAACTGCCCTTGTTCTCTTTCTCACATTCTGTTCACACAATGATTTTTTCTATAGTTTGTGCATGCCATTTTGTGAAAATGCTGATACAACAGGGTAAGTTTCAATTCAAAATTTTCTTTTTGGGGTGAGCTGTCCTTTTAATTTTGATGATGAAGAATATTATAAACACTTGGCACTTTTTTATTATAGAAAACATAAAATACAGGAAAATGAGGATTCATGTGGCTGAATATAACACGGTTCATTATGAGAACATGTTCAGCTTTATCACTATCACGTTGTGTCTCTGCAGTACTTGTGAGTCAGGAGAGGCTGAAGAACAAAACCTGTGATACATGAATTACCCAGAAAAACTCTTCTTTGAGTTTTATTTCAATGACTGTTTGTGTCCCCCATTTGTGATGCAATAGATTTTCAGGACAATAAATGAATGCTATTTGATTTGTTGAGTTACAGAAAGAAAGATGTTTGACGCAGAGGAATCAGAATTGCAACTGAACATAGAATCAGTGATTTTGGTACATTTGCACTATATCAAAAATGTTTGAAATAATACAAAAATTAGATTGAACAGGCATGCCACTTCTGATTTAATATGGCGTGTATGGAAAGAGATCAGCCAAATATAGCACACACAAATGGTATCTTGACTGTACATGTTTGGTCATTCCAATGTCCTGTAGCTGTTATGAGAAAGAAAAAGATGTTTTATTATACAAATAATTATACAGGTATTAGCATCATAACGCGGTCATATTTTAAGTACAAGTAAAAGTACAGCTTTAAAAATATACTAAAAAAAGTACAAGTACCCGAAAAAAACTACTTAATTACAGTAACGTGAGTATACTTGTTGTAATTCGTTGCCTCCACCACTGGCAGCAAATTAGGAGTTTGAGGCAAAAGTTGTAGTTAATGGTTTGCTAATAGCGAAAATTGGACCTTAAATACAAATTAAGCAAAATAATCTACTTCGTTACTTTTAAATCATAGTTCGTTACTGAGCCTTTGATGGCCCTTCAGTAGCCAATAAAGATATCCGATCGTGTAAACGGACCAATAACAGCCCTGATATCTAAACCGGGAAAAGTTGCCGCTGCAGCAGGTGAAGAGTTGATCAGAGTGAGGGAGCTCAGCGTGATTTATGGACTCAAAGTTTGGAGAAACAAACTACATGGTAGTGTTATCATAAATATCTATATTTTGATACCGATACTGAAATATCTGACACGGTTCCATTACTCATTTTCCACAGTTGGCTCTACCGAATATACACAGATACAAGATGCGTCTCGCTCTCTACTCTCCACTCTCCAGTGAGTTTGACACGCATCCGCCTCCTTTCGATTACAGAGTCTGAATGTCGGGATTACAGAGTCTGAATGTCGGGATTACAGAGTCTGAATGTCGGGATTACAGAGTCTGAATGTCGGGATTACAGAGTCTGAATGTCGGGATTACAGAGTCTGAATGTCGGGATTACAGAGTCTGAATGTCGGGATTACAGAGTCTGAATGTCGGGATTACAGAGTCTGAATGTCGGGATTGCAGGTATTCCGCATAATTTTAATCATTCCCGCGCAAATGTGGCGAGCGCTTTATTGTAGCTAACATAAGAACACAGTCATGTAATCGCAGAAAACTGGACGCGAGTTCTCAAATTTGTTTTGGTGATTTGAAATATCAACATTGGCTACCAGAAATCACTTACCCCACCTTTAATGCAAAACACATTTACTCCGCCTGATTTAAAAATTCATGTCACTTTCAATCTGTTCATCTTTTCATTACAATAAAAGTGAATAGGACTTGTTGACGATAAAAGTAGTCCACAGGACTCATCTCACATGATGGCATGTAAAGCCCACTTTATGATGCTTTTGCATCCTTTTGCTGCTTGAAAGCTTCCATTTCACTCATTGTGACTGCATTCAGAATTTCAGCAGTCTGAATCAAGGTTTCCTCCTTATCCATTATTCTCTTATACGGTGGTGATTTACGCACTTGGCAGTGTGCTGTTGACCCTGCGGGCGCGTGTGTCGGCCTGCTGTTTGCTGATGGGCTGCTGAAGCTGTGAATCTGCTCGGATCTGTGGGTTGTAGATCTGTGGAGGAACAGCAGGATGAACACTGAGCCTCATACAACAGAACGAACACAAACGCTGAGCTCTGACTCACGGTCTTCAGCTGGATGCCGCTGTCGATGACGTATCGGATGTTGTTGAGAGAGAATGAAGCCTCCCCTAAGACGTCGGTGAGGATGACTCTGCGTCTCTGGGCTGGAGACTCTACAGTGTCCGGCAGCTCGTCCTGCTGCTTGTCCTCAGGACTCTCGGAGTTGTAAAGCTGCTGCGATGATCCTCCGACACCGGCGTGCAGATCGATCACGCGCAGAGACAGCAGATGAGCGCTGAGAGACACACACTCCTTCTCCAGTGCCACGCGACACTCCTGAATCTCCTGACAGGAAGTTTTGAGAAGTTTTCTCAGAAGTTTTTATCTAATATTTATATTTTATTTTATTACAGCTTTATTAGCTTATATATATATATATATATATTAACAAATACTATATGGTAATATAAAACAGTGCCTCATGAATGAAGCTACAGTCCTGGAACAAACTCAAAGCACAGGACAGCTGATTAATTACAGGATTTTCTGTATATTTAAATATAAATATATATTTAAATAATATTCAAAGTAAATATGCACAGTTTATTTCTCAAATATGAGGATCTGAAAGCAAACGTGTCCCCTGTAATTGTTTAATTTTGTGGATAACGCAGCATGCAAAAGTACATTTTGCATTAGGATGTAAAATTTGGTTTTCAACAGTAAATCCACATTAAACAAGTTGTTTAAAGTGAACAGCACAGGTGTATTTTACTCTCAGAGACACACATGATCTCTGTTAAGTCACACTCTCTTTCTGATGGTGTGAAACTGAGTTTTTCCAGCAGAATGAAGTCAGTTTGCTCAAAGGACTGAATGAGGGTGTGACGCTGTTGACAAAAGGGGAGGCGGTGTGTGTGTGTGTGTGTGTGCGTGTTTATACTGAAGAGATCTGTGCAGGGAAACAACACACTAGTCAGCTACTTTCCACAAATAAAGACTTTACTCTGTGTGTGTGTGTGTGTGTGTGTGTGTGTGTGTGTGTTTGATGTGTCAGTCTCGAGTGATTCTGCTATAGACACATGTGGCTTTGCATTATTTACATGAGAGAGATTAAAGAGCAGGATGAGTCTCAAACAAGTGAGGAAAAATTTAAAAGAGCTATAATAAAGTTAAAACTTAAAGAAGAAATATATACTATACAGACAAAATGTACTAAAATAAGTACTACACAGTCTGTAAAATATAGATTACACTATTTTAAGGTGTCCTTGTTACAGTGTAATAATGCATTTAAGTACCGAGTAATATTAATTAACTACATGTACTTACTATATGATTAGGTTTAGGATTAGGGTTTGGCTTAGGGTTGCTTGCATGTAATTATGCATAATTAATTTTTGTTATAATAGTAAGTACATGTAACATGTGTAACAAGGACACCTTAAAATAAAGTGTTACCAAAATATATACTGTAAATATAAAACAAAACTGTTTATATCCGTAGAAATACAGGTCGTGTTGAACCTACAAAACACTTGTTCTCATTGCATTCACAACTTCTTTTTAGTCCTTTTTGGAACTTGACTTTATAAATCTACCTTCTCTTTCCTGGCATTTTGCTAAATATCATCTTTTGTGTTCCATGCAAAATCTCATATTATTTTGTGTAACCTGAGGGCGAGTTAGTTCATTGTTGAAGTGTGTGAATAATCTCAATAAGAAGCAGGACTCTCAGCAGATAAAGGATCAGATCCTCTTACTGACTCAATGCGCTTCAGAGGCGGCGTGTCTCGAGTGTGAAATGAGACTCATACCTGCACACTAGGGAGGAACACCAGTATGTCTCCTTCCTCTCCCCTGCGGTGTAGGTCCAGGATCATGTGACAGGAAGCTGTGGCCAGGTCACGTCCTGCCGGCAGCTCTCGGTACAGTATTTCGGTGGTGTTGGTTTGCGAAGGAACGCTGAGGTGAGGAACACTCTCTCCCAGGAAGCTGGCGAAGGTATGAGCAACTGCAGGCGCGGTGAGCACCACCACCCTGAGCTCAGCGCGCTGGCGGCACACATCACATAGCAGCCCCAGCAGCACATCCGTCGCCACTGTGCGCTCCTGAGCCTCATCAATGACCAAAACCCCGTACTGGCGCAGCAGAGGGTCTGACATCATTTCCTCCAGCAGGAGAGAGTCTGTGACAAACCTGCAGAGAGGAAAACGTTACTACAGCATTAAAACAGTGCAGGAGCAGGGGCTGAGAGTAGGGAGTGTCGCTTCGTACCGCAGTATGGTGTCCGGCGTGCAGCCGTCCTCGTGTGGGACCCTGTAGCCCACCTCCAACCCCAGACTCAAGTCCATCTCATCAGCCACTCTGAGCGCCAGACTGCAGGCGGCCGCCGCGTATGGCTGAGAGCAGCACACCAGACCCTGAGAGAACTCATGAGACAGAGCGAACTCCACACACCACTGAGGAACCTACACACACATATAAACAGAGCAGAGAGAGACACATGAGAGATCAGGGTAGAGCAGAGCAGAATAGAATAAAATAGAATAGAATATGACACATTGGAATAGAATAGAATAGAATAGAATATGCAGAATGTAGATGCAGATGAATTAAGACTGCATAACTCATGAGTGCAAGACATGAGTGATTCATGAGTAAGAATCAAATACAATGAAATGGAACAGAATAGAATAGAAAATAATAGAATAGAATAGTATAGAACAGAATGGAATAGAAAAAGCAACTGAACTGAATACAATAGAACAGAAGACAATGGAATAGAATAAAATGTAAAAGAATGGAATGAATAACACAATAAAATGGCATATAATAGAATAGAACAGAACAGAATGGAATAGAACAAAATTGGGGGGAAAAACGGGAAGAAAGAATAGAACACAACAAAACAGAATACAATGGAATTGAACAGAATGGAATGGAATAGAATAGAATAGAACAGAATAGAACAGAACAGAATAGAACAGGTCAGAATATAATTGAAGGGAATGGGATGGGACTAGACAGAATGGAATGGAATGGAACAGCATAGAACAGAATAGAACTCAATTGATCCTTTGCAAGAATTGAGCCTGCAGCTTTCTGGTTTCCAGTTCTGATCCTAAAGGAATTTTCTGGGTGTAATACATGCTCTTCTGGCAGCATCTGTGACATACTGTCCATCACCACAGAAGACCATACGAGTCGTGCTGACAGTAAACAATGACAATGGACGCCTGCAGGTCAACCATACTGGAGGGTTTATAAGCAGAAACATGCAGCCTGTATTTGTGTTAACCTGTTACACCGTGTCCTAACTACATGCGACGCGATGCCGCGACACGCGATAAAAGATATCCTTTCCATGTTAACTGGTGTTTTTGTCCTAACTAGCCGCGACGGCGACACACGAAATTTCTTAACTGTTTCTATTTCCGCGACATCGCGGCTGGAACATCAACAATCAAACTATATGACAGTAGATAATCTCAGGTGATTATGTGCTTTATTCAAAGTTAAACTTCTCTAATATGAGTTTAAATATAATTTTTTTGTGACCTTATAGCCATACTGAAAGCAACAATAGATAGTTTAGCTCAGATCTTGAAAATAAATTAAAGCAAAGATGTCCGTTAAAACTGTGGACTCACTGCGAACCAATGAGTGTATTCCATGACAAAGATGGTATCAGTCACTCAGTATGTACATTTAATGGTGTTAAAAAGGTTTAATATTTATTCATTAGATTATAAACGTATCCATTTCGTTGCAAGAGCAGTGCGCTTCCACAGAGCTTCTGATTGGCTGTGATATTTGATTGATTCTGTCGCGTCACATCTGGTGTGGACACCCAAATTGCGTGTCGCTGGAATCTTGTCGCGTCGCATGTAGTTAGGACACGGTGTTAGCGTTCCACTGTACCACCCGCGGTGTTTTATGCATTTTAGGCAAATTTTACAGGAATGCTAAGGGGTTGAATAGCTTGCTAATTCTTTCCTACAAAAAGCTCAAATTTATTAGAGCTGTAAATTGCCTAAAATTAATAAGTGTCCTTTTAGCAGTGGCACTACTGATCGAGACTGATGAATTTCTGTGTTACTAAAAAAAAAGTATCTTCTGCTCACCAAGGCTGCATTTATTTCATCAAAATTGCAGTAAAAACAGTAGTATTGTGATATAATTTAAAATAACTGTTTTCTATTGTAATATATTTTAAAATATAATTTATTTCTGTGATGCAAACGTGAATTTTCAGCTGCCATTACTCGTGTCTTCAGTGTCACGCGATCCTTCATATTTTATAATGTAGTAACTGAGTTATACCAGTAATAAAACTGTCACTGCACTGCTGTGTTGTGCCTAACAGCAACCTTTAGCCGTGACTACGGGCCTCATGTGCTTTATCGCTTAATTACGGCAATTTCTTTGCTTTTACAGACTGAGGGACGAGTTATTTTTCAGTGGTGTTCAACAGCATGACACAGATGCCATTCATAGAGCTGGTCTTTTCACTGAATAATTGTAGCTTCATTAATAGTTGGCCTGGATAGGTGTATCTTCATTAACAATGTAATTAGATAATAATGCCTTTAGTAATGTAGCTTTGAAGTAAAATACTGTAACTATCATATTTAGAGGTCATTGCAAATGAATGTTGAACTTCACATTACAGTTTTGAGAAACTGGACATGCTGTGACACCCGGGAACCATGACAAGAAATCGGTACTCAGTATCGGCTGCAAAAATCCTGATCAGAGCATCCCTAGTTCATTCATTATAATAATAATAATAATAATAATAATAATAATAATAATAATAATAATGTACATCTGTTCATTAATGACATTCAGCTGGGTAAAACAGTAATGATTTGTTCTAAGCAACTAATTTGTTCAATTCAGAGGGTTTTTTGTCGCAATTCTGAGTTTGTATCTCACAATTCAGAGTTTGTATCTCACAATTCAGTTTTGTCTCAATTCAGAGTTTTTTCTCACAATTCTGAGCTTTTCCCCACAATTGAGCCTTTTTTTCACAATTCTGAGCTTCTTTCTCACAAAAGAGTTTTTTCATGCAATTCTGTTTTTTTTTCCTGACAATTTTGAGTATATGTCTCACAATTAAGACTTTCTTCCTCACAATTCTGATTTTATTTTGTATTTTTTATTGTGAGATAAAGGTCACAATTACCTGCTTATTTTATATCTTGTTGCGGAAACAAGCTTACATACCATTTCTGTAAGACTAAGGAACAGCTGAACTACTCTTTCTTGCGAATGAAGCCAGTGAAGAACAGCCGCTGAAGCTCTCAGTAATTCTACACGTCAGGAATCCAGCACATGCTTCCAGCAAATGCACTGCAACATACAGCCTTCACTGCATTATGTAAAGGACACTACAATGCACAACACTATCCTGTTTCCCTCAGTGTTGCGTAAATGTGTCACCATCACACTCTTCAAACTATCATAACCGCCACTTACTCAATATGCGAGCGTCTCCCGAGTCGGGTTAGTCAGACGGTGTCTGATAAGACATGCAGTAAAATGATCATGTAAATTAAATTATGATAAAATGCTACATAAGATACAAGATACGAAGAGACTCATCAGCATTACCTGTGATGTTTAAACACTGATGCATTTGGTTACTCTAAAAAGTGTGTTTGGGAGGGACTGATCAGGTGACACGCCACAAACAAAACACAGGCAAAGTGAAGGAGAGATTCAGGAGGTTCCTGTAAGTCCATCAAAGAAACACAACAATTATTTATTTATATTTTGAATTAAATTATATTTTTTATGTTCTCTGTTTTTATTTTAGTTTTAGTTGAAGTTTTGGTATTTTTGACATTTTTATTAGCCTTTTTTCATGTCTATAATATATATATATTTTTATTTACGTTTTAGTTATTTTAGTACATCAAGTTAGTACATCAAAGAAAAAGAGAAATGCTGCTTTGGTAGCTGAAATAAAGATTAAAAATAATAAATAGGTTTAATATATAAGTTTAGTTTTTCATATTTATTTTATTTCTCTTAAAGTTGATTTTATTTCAAGTAGCAAAAATTATTATTATTTTTTTTAATTGTTAACCCTGAACACATGGAGCTTCTGTGCGCTCTGTCTCTGATGTGCCAAAACGTGACTGATTTTTGTTCATAAAATCCTGAATATTTTGTAAATAAGTGCATGTGTAGTAGCAGGTTTATGTGTGAGAGAATACGAGTGCTGGGTGTCAGTGATATTGGGGTCAGATTAAAGCTCAGCAACATCAAAAGAACACAAACAACAGGGCAAAATAATCACTAAAACTAAACATATCAGTACTGTATAATATTTACACAAACATCAACACACCCTGATCCTATTTGTATTGAATACGAAAGCACTAACAGACGGAATGTGTGTTTTTGATTCGTAAACAGCCATAATAATCACTGATATAACACTAGGATGGTCTATATAGAATGCTATAACAGTGTGCTTATATTTAATGAAATGTACTGTAACTGTGTAATGTATTTAGACGCGTTTCCTTTAAATCTGCATAATGACCGTGTATCAGCTGACTGTCAATAGATCAGACGACAACACGCCGAATAAACAAGACAAAAACAGCGCAAACCCACCGAGAACGAGAGGGAAACGACATTTACCTGAAGCACATTATCACCTCAGATCCGTCAAACCAATCCGATGAGAAACCAAATGATGGAAATGAGAGAAATAACGCGGAGAGTCACCGCGTTAATGTACATCCATCAAGACTCACGATGACACGAAAATATAATATAACGTCCTTCAGAGAATAATGAGCCTGAAAGCGAACTGCTTTAAAAATCGATCTGAAGCCGTTTTAGTGCAATATTATGAGCTTATTCATGACTGTTGACGGTATTTCATCGCCAGAGAGCGAAACTCGGCCGCCATGATGAAGCTCACCGTGACTCACCTCATGGGCCGCGGCTTAAATCCCGCTCTGCTGCCTACATAGACAGCACGGGATTACTGCACACGCCTTTGACGCTCCCACTCCATTTTGTGTACTAGACAGGGAACTCAAGAGGTGTCGAGCCACAGCCTCGCGCTCACCGGGCAGGTGGAGCTGAAACCTGAACCAGATAATAAAGAAGAGAAGGGTGGAGACCGACAAAGTGACAAAATAAATGAATGCATGTGCATTCGAGAAAAAAAAATTATATATATATATAAAAAACACAATATAGCTACAGGTTAAGACTCATAAGGAAACATTAAAAAAAATCTAACTTTAGTATTAAAGGTCAGTTATCTAATTTCTGCGCCACTAGCGTCACCAGACCTGATCAAAAATATTGATTACTTCCACCGATCTCTATTATAGATCAGTGATTAGCTACTTCTAAACAGATTGTCCCAAACTCACACTACTTTGCGTAAGAATTTGATGTGTTGGACTCTAGTTTAAGGAATATATCTTCAGATTTCTTGTTTTGTTTAAATATTTTATTCATAATCAATGATTCAAGCATTTAGAATTTATTCTTTTTATTATTATTTTAAAATAATATATATAATTTCTTATTATAGCTTATTAATTCGTTTATTTTCTATGATCAAATTGTTCATATATGTATGAAGAAGAAGAAGAATACTACTGATAGCTACTGTAATTACACCATGTGTCTAATACCAGGGGTCACCAAACTCAGTCCCGGAGGGCCTGCACAGTTTAGCTCCAAGCTAGGGCTGCACAATTAATCGAATTTCTAATCGAGATTACAATTACGGATGTCACAATTATGTAATCGTTCAAAGCAGCAATTAATCGTTCAAAGTCCACTTATGTTATTCTGTGTGCTTAAGATCTGTTTTTTAAGTTATCTTACGGGTTTTTCCATTGTTTTAATTTTAGTTTTAATATGACATTATAATACCATAAGCGGCAATTAATCGTTCAAAGTCCACTTATGTTATTCTGTGTGCTTAAGATCTGTTTTTTAAGTTATCTTACGGGTTTTTCCATTGTTTTAATTTTAGTTTTAATATGACATTATAATACCATGCATATTTTACCTTTTTTTATTTAAAGAAGAAACCAATCCAATGAAAAGATGCCATTTGAGGCTTAATACTACATAAATGCAATAAAGGTTTTTCAGTTTGAGCGTTTTCAGCTTGTTTATTTTCATCTGAAAGTATGGCATGCGGTTGCTTCAAACAATGATATAACATCATTCAATGTAAATTGTGATAATCGTAATTAATAATCGCAATTACAATTTCAAGGGAATAATCGACAATTATGATTTTGGTCATAATCGTGCAGCCCTACTCCAAGCCTAATAAAGCACACCTGAACCAGCTAATCAAGGTCTTACTAGGTATACTTGAAACTTCCAGGCAGGTGTGTTGAAGCAAGTTGGAGCTAAACTTTGCAGTACACCGGCCCTCCAGGACCGAGTTTTGTGTCCACTGGTCTAATCAGTCCATCAGTGTTGACGTTGTCCTTTTCCTGTAGATCCAGTGCGATCAATCTCATCTACAGCAGATTGCAGCTGATTGCATGAGTGCAAAAGGAAAATTATTTGTGCATGAGAAAAAGTGTGAAATTTCAGGACTGTAACAGATCGCTGTGCTTTCGAATAATAAACTTTACATTATCACTACAACGCATATATATTTTTTGCTATG